CTCCTGACCTCGTGATCCGCCCGTCTCGGCCTCCCAAAGTGCTGGGATTACAGGCTTGAGCCACGCGCCCGGCCAACATTTCATTTTTTTAAGTGAGTTAATGAATTGATAAAGACACAGCCCTAGTGATCAAGGTAAAGTGAGTCAAGTCCTGACTTCAGTTCTGAAAATTTGTTGCTGAATGACTCACTTTGTGATCCATGTGCCTCAGTGTCAGTAACACATGAAAAATACTGCTGAAGATATTTCATCTAGGAAGTTCTCAGGTGAAAATGCTACCCTTAGAAACAAAATCTCATTACATTACGAAACATTTGGGAGTGTTACCTGTGTTTCCACACTTTATGCATTTTTTTAAAGTCACCAACATTTTTTGTTTCTGAAAAAACAAAAAACACAGCCTAGGACTGAACATGTTTTCTGCTTCTCCATAAATCCAAGTGAAGGTATAAATCTTATTTAAATATTATAATGTCCAGAAATTATTCACAGGCTTTCCCTAGTTTTGCTTATATTTAATCAACCCTTTAGTGAACATCCGCTTAAAACTGTTTTTCCCAATTTATGATTGTCATCTTATATAAAACCCTACGAGATTAGGAAAATGAGCTTGCAGTGACAAGTGACTACCATTGCACGTAGAAGATTTGAAATTCTGAGCTATACTCACAATCAGCTTGGTCTCTAGCTATCTCTTAGACAGTAACATTTCAAATGTACCAACTTCAGAAAAGTTTATATCAAAGCATTGACTTAAGAGAAACGGAAACACTAGCGCAATGGAAAATGCCTGAGACTTACTAGGAAAATGTATAACCAACTCTAAAAACTTAATTCTTAAAAGTGGTTCTGTCTATAGAAGTTAACAGTTCTGTTTTCCAAGTTTTGTAAAATACTAGCAAAATATCTTCGAATTCTAAATACGTTTCTGTAGCATTTATCTTTAGTAACGGCAAGAAATTAACAGATAATTCCTTAGCAATATAATATAAAAAACTTCAAAGAGATCAAGTAAAACAAAACTGTGAATGATAAATTAATAAACTAAATTTTTTAAGGTTTTAAGTTTTAAAAAACCTAATTTTTTAAAGTTTCTCGCCATGTTCTGCATGACTTCATTCATTCTTCACAAACATAAACATTTCAAAGTTGGGATCATCAACATTCTCGTGTTTAACTTCACATAAATACTCAAGTTCACCTGTAAATCTGCCTTGCTTCCGTCAAGATTTTCTGTTTCTCTGCCTTCTATTACTCACCAACTGCATCTGGATTTACCGGTCTGGAGACATCGGCTTGCCCCATGATTATATTGTCTGATGTATCTCACGACAACAAACTGTCCCGGACAAAAGCAAACTTTTCATAAAAGATAAATCCACATAAAGAGGGGACATGCGATCCTCTTTCAGTGTCACTGCCAAACATCAGGAAATGGCATAAGGTCAGTTCATCTGCTGAAGTTTCTGTTTCCCATACAGCCTGGGCACTTACAGTTCTTACAAAACTCTCTTCACACTGGCTCTCTTCACCCAGGAATGCCTGTCATTCCAGAATGCACACTGTGTAGAGCTGAAGTGCAGGAAGGGGAGGAGACTGCCAACCACATTCTAGCTGCTGACTGGCATAGCCCAAAAGTCCACACCCCCTGTTCCTGACTTTTGAGCTTGGCTGGAACTCTCCAGGCTCTGAGTCATAGAAGAAAGGGAGCCTGCTCAAGAGTACACCAAAGAATTTACAAATTTAATCACACAAAAACACCAGGATGGTTATGAGTAAAAGGCTAATGGGAGCAGTAATCCATTCAAAGGTGTGTTTTAGACACAGGTTTACCTCAAAAGTATCAGATTTCACTGTGTTATGGACTGCATGTTTGTATCCCCTTACAATTTATATATGGAAATTCTGACGCCCAGTGTGATGGTATAGGAAGTGGGTTCTTTGGGAGATAATTAGGTCATTGAGGGTAAAGCCCTCGCTAATAGGATTAGTACTTTATCAAAAAGGACCCAGACAGCTCTCTCTTTCCATCATGTGAGGCTATGCAAGAAGACAACTGTCTGGAAACCAGGAAGAAGGCCCTCACAGATACCCAGTCTCCTGGTACCTTGACCTTGGACTTCCCAGTATCCAGAACTGTTAGAAATAAATGTCTGTGGCTGGGCCTGGTGACTCATGTCTGTAATCCCAGCACTTTGGGAGGCCAAGGCTGAAGGATTATTTAAGCCCAAGAGCTCGAGATCAGCATGGGTAACATAATGAGACTCTGTCTCTAAAAAATTTAAAAATTAGCCAGGCATGCTGGCGTGTGCCAGCAGCCCCCAGCTACTGGAGGGAGGGGAGGTGAGGTGGGAGAATTGCTTGAGCCCAGAGGTGAGTTGTGAGCTGTGATTACACCGCTGCACTCCAGCCTAGGCAACAATGCAAGACCCTGCCTCAAAAATAAACAAATAAAAATAAAAGAAATAAATGTTTGTTTAAGCCCCCCCAGTCTATAGTATTCTGTTATAGTAGCCTGAACAGATTAAGACATGCTATTTATTCTAAAATTTTATTTCCTACCTATAGGTGGGCATGCCCAAAGCAAGGTGAGATCTATGTACTGGGAATTAATAACATTAGAAACAATATTTTAGGACTGAATATATCTTTTCTGAGAATACGGACAACTATTTCTGAAAATCTGCTTACTAAAACAATAAACTTGAAATAAATATTTGGAAGGCATTATATAATAGTCTCTTCCTGCTAAAAATCAATAATCTCCATATAATCTTGGGGAATAAGAAATTACAAAGAGTAGCCCTACATGCTGCGCATAATACATAGAAATATCACCTAATCACATGCGGCAAATGAACGTCCAATTTGCACATTGATTTTTCCTTTTTTATCCATAACTAACTTACATACAGCCAAGTACATAAATATTAAGGATACAGCTTGATAAATTTTTATTTAGTATAGTAACACCAAATTTTCTAAATGTTAAAAAGACACACATAACACAACCTTAACATAACCTCCACATAACCTGGATTATTCCACTAACATCTGAAGGTAAAAGAGGAAGCTAACAATTTTGAGTAATATATTAAGGAGTTTTACACTGGTTACTGCATTTAATCATCACCACAACTAACCATGCATTGTGAGGTATATTTATTTACCCTATTTTCAGATAAGAAAACTAGGGCTAGTAAGGTCAAATCCTGTGTCTTATATCACCAAGCTAGTAAGTACCAAAGCGCTAATATTCCTTCAATAAAAGACAGCAACCACTGGGTGGAGTGGCGTGCACCTGTAGTCTCAGCTACTGAGACTGAGACTGAGGCTGCGGTGGGAGGATCACTTGACCCCATGAGTCTGAGTCCAGCCTTGGCAACATAGTGAGCCCTGTCTCTAAAAAAAAAAATTAAAACAATTTTTTAAAAAAGACAGCTACCAAAAAAAAAAAGGGAGTTTTTCATTTAAATCTTTAGTCACCAAACTGAGATCCCAGAAGATTTCTAGCATCTGAACTTTCCCGTATTTAGCCTGTCCTTGGTACATTCTCTTCTCTATTATCTTAGCCCCATTATCTGTTTTTGATAGAGAAAAAAACAGCAAAGGTAACAAAAAAGAAAACCTCAATGCTAAGGCATCAGTGAGGGGAAAAAGTGCAGAAACATTCAGACAACATTAAATTGTTAATATTGGTAGTAATTAGAAAAACATTATGATGTTGACCATTAAAACAGGAAAGAAAGTAAAAGGAAAAATGCACTGAAAGCACAATTCAATTTAATAATGCCCAATACTTTGGAACCTAGGTACTTATACTTATTAGCATAAAAGCAGACCATAGCAAGAGCAGTTTCCATTGTTGTAAAATGGGAATGCAAAAGGTGGCAAATGCATTGCTTGGCACTCAGGAGGTGCTCAACATATTGTAATTAACAACATCATTATCACCATCATCATCATCATCATGGAGCCAATATGGTATATTACTTATGAGCATGAGCTTTGGAGTCAGTCTGAAATTTTAATTCCAGCTCTACCACTTATTAAGTGTTAACTCAAGACAAGTTACTTCACCTCTCTAAGTCTCAGTTTTCTAGTATTATAAAAGTACACAACAACAATTACTAGTACAAGGCTGAACGTGGTGGCTCACGCTTGTAATCCCAGCACTTTAGGAGGTCAAGGCGGGCAGGTCACCTGAGGTCAGGAGTTTGAAACCAGCCTGGCCAACATGGTGAAATCCTGGTTCTACTAAAAATACAAAAATTAGCTGGGAGTGGTAGCACATGCCTGTAATCCCAGATAGGAGGCTGAGGCATGAGAATCGCTTGAACTCAGGAGGCAGAGGTTGCAGCGAGCCACGATCATGCCACTGCACTCCAGCCTGGGCAACAGAGCGAGACCCTGTCTCAAAGAAAAAAAGAAAAATTACTAGTACAGGGAATTTGTAAGGATTAAATGACATGAACAGAAATGAAGTGCTTTGTAATGTTCCTGGTACCTGAAAACCTCTCAATAAATGCAAATCAAGAAAAGAGAGGCCAGGTCAAGAGTATGACTCCAGAGAGCAAGTTGGAAGAAGCAGGTCAGAGAGAAAGTCTGAACACAACCAGTTGCTGTATAGAAACATTAAGCAAATGGAAGGACCCAGATACAAGCATTACCTTGAATATTTGGGTAAGTTCAAACCCGGCACATTGAACATGCACACACACACACACAGCCCAGAAACAGTACCTTCTAATCTATGTAGACATGACCATACAAGAGTACAACAAGATAGATTTATGGATCTAGGTATAGCTGCTAAAACCATCTGCCAAATTTAAATGCCAAAATAAAAACCACCTGCCAAATGTAAAAGGCCAGGCACAGTGGCTCATTCCTGTAATCCCAGCATTTGGAGAGGTGAAGGTAGGAGGATCCCTCGAGCCTAGGAGTTTGAGACTAGCCTGTGCAATAAAGTAAGGCCCTGTCTCTAATAAATAAAATAAAATAAAATAAAAGCCAAATCTTGTCATGGCTCACTGCTGATTCTACAATATTGTGAGAGTAGCAATAAAACTTCAAGAATGAAAGGGGCTGGGCACAGTGGCTCATGCCTGTAATCCCAGCACTTTGGAAGGCCAGGGTAGGCGGATCACAAGGTCAGTATATTGAGAACATCTTGGCCAACATGGTGAAACCCCATCTCTACTAAAAATACAAAAATTAGACGGGCATGGTGGTGCACGCCTGTAGTCCCAGCTACTCAGGAGGCTGAGGCAGGAGAATCACTTGAACCTGGGAGACAGAGGTTGTAGTGAGCCAAGATAGCGCTACTGGCTACTGCATTCTAGCCTGGGCGACAAGAGTGAAACTCCATCTCGAAGAAAAAAAAAAGAATGAAAGGATTCTTAGTGATCATTTGGCTCAACTTCAATCTCCTACTTATTGCAGAAGGAGGAAACTGAGGTTCAAAGAGGTTAAATGCCTTGCTCAGAGCAAGAACTAAAATCCAGGTATCCTTATTCTGACTCCCAGACTCACTGAAGCTCTTGTATAAATGGCCAAGAATTTTTAAGCTCCAAAAGAAATATTCATTTTCCAAGGAATTCCACACTCTACAACTAATCTCTCAGAAATGCTAAGTCTAGGCGGGGCACAGTGGCTCACGCCTGTAATCCTACCACTTTGGGATGCTGAGCTGGGCAGATCATGACATGAGGAGTTTGAGATGAGCCTGACGAACATGGTGAAACCCCGTCTCTACTAAAAATACAAATATTAGCTGGGCATGGTGGCGGGCGCCTGCAATCCCAGCTACTCAGGAGGCTGAGGCAGGAGAATGGCTTGAATTCAGGAAGCAGAGGTTGCAGTAAGCCAAGATTGCACCACTGCACTCTAGCCTGGGTAACAGAGCAAGACTCTGTCTCAAAAAAATAAAATAAAAAACAAAATAAAGAGAAATGCTAAGTCTAGGCCCAGTGCAGTGGCTTGCTCCTGTAATCCCAGCACTCTCAGAGGCCGAGGCAGGAGGATCACCTGAGGTCAGGAGTTCGAGACCAGCCTGGCCAACATGGTAAAACCCTGTCTCTACTAAAAATACAAAAATTAGCCGGGCGTGGTGGCTGGCGCCTGTAGTACCAGCTATACAGGAGGCTGAGGCAGGAGAATCGATTGAACTTGGGAGGCGGAGGTTGCAGTGAGCCGAGATCGTGCCAATGCACTCCAGTCTGGGTAACAGGGCAAGACTGTCTCAAAATAAGAAAGAAAAGAAAAGAAAAGAAGAAAGAAATGCTAAGTCTGTTGCCTATGTGCCAAGACACTACATGTTCCCTGACAATCATGTTTAATTTTTCTTCTGACAATCAGTATTTACTCTGTGCTAATTGGTAAGCAGACAAGCAGAAATGTAGGACGATACTGGCACACCAATGACATTAAAATTAACAATAAAGCCTTGAGTTCATTTTAGTCTTCTATGCATTATGGTGTTTTTTTTTTTGTTTTTTTTTTTTTGAGATGGAGTCTTGCTCAGTCGCCTAGGCTGGA